ATCAAACAAAAAAAAAAACATCAAATCTTCAAAGTTGTGTGATCATGTTGTCTCGTTAAAAGCTTATTTGAAATTTTTTGTGGAAAAAATCCAACGTAAGTGATAAAGATTACGGTCGCTCAATTAATATGAACATCAATATATTAATCAATTGCATGTATTGTTTGAGAAAAATTGAGATAGATATCAGTCATCAACAAGAATAGGAGCCTTTGGAACCAACTTGTTGATTGGCAAGCAGTCCCAACCATTATTGCCCTTGGCATGATCATAAGATACCCTGAAATACTTAGGGGCAAAATCGTCATCTTTCGACTTCCTCTCCCGCGCGAGCTCTCTTTGCCTTTCCTCGACTCGAGTCTTGGCTTCCCTTGCTCTGTCCCAACTCTTTTGCAGAATGGCTCGGCTCACGTCGGCCCACACAAGAGTCGACTCGCTTTCCGAAACTGCCTGAATCGAATTTATCAAGACAAACATTTTTGAGTTATCAAAAGGATGTTTTGAAGTATTATTTGTGTACTAAGTTCTAGGCCTGTAAACGAGCCAGAAATCAAACTCGAGCTCGGTTCAGTTATCACTATTAACGAGCCAATCTCAAGCTTTAACAAGCCGGACTATAACAAATTAAATAAAAATTCTCTTTTCGAGCCTTCGTTAACCAAACGAGCTTTAATTGAGCTCGAGCTCGAGCTCGAGCTGAACTCCAACCTTAATTAGCCGAGTCGAGCTAGATTCATTTAATTTAGCAGCTATGTTTTTTCATGTTTTTTGTAATGGTAAAACTTGCCTACCTCGGAATCCTTAACAATAGGAGTCTTCAAACTCGAAAGCGCCTCTTTCGCATCGTAGATGACCGTTGTTTTTCCGGTCAATACATCCTTTGCCGTCACAATCCTACACAACGAACGATAAGCAAACTTACGTAAAAAAAATAAAAATAAAAAATAAAAACTAATTTTCTTGAAGTTTTATGTTTAGATCTATACTTGTCCCAATGGCCATTGATCTCGTACACGGTTTCTAATGTCGACGAAAGAAATATTTTCCCTTTGATCGACCTGTGTATCGATGGACGAGGCAAAAACGAGTTGCCTCGGTAAGATAACTCGGCCTCGAGCCCGGTTTCTTGACACCGGACTTTCACATTCCCTAACCAGTCAACGCCGGGCAAAGGCAAGAATCTTATGACGAGATTAGGTGAGTTCATTACATAAGTTTCGTTCTTGTCCACAAGCTTTAGCTCTCGTCTCCCGAGTACCTCCGTCTCAATGTGAGTCCCTATGACACGACACGAAATTTTATTTTATTTTTTCTAAATTGCAAATAGACCCCTGGAATTGTGCTCGTCTCGCACAATAGCACCTTGATAAGTTCAATTTGTAAATTTTGAAAAAAATCGGCTAGTGTGGAAATACCGTAAAAACTCGGTACCGGAGATTGACACCAAGTGACCTCGATTTTCGCTTTCTCGTCGGTAGCATGAAGAGCCGTCACAGGTGGATGGTGCGAAACCTGAACCGGCAAGAAAAAAAAAATCGATATTTTCAGTCAGATTCAAGAAACAGAAGCAGTTTTTCAAATCTCTTACTAATTGATTTTTTTTTTTTTTACATCAGCTAATTTTTGTTATGTTATATAACAACATAACAGCACAACCAATAATTCATCAACAAGAGTATAACAATATGCAAGGGTACAAAAAAAATATAGAATATCCATGGGGACATTTTGTAATTGTGAGAAACTGCAAGGTGTTCCTGACGAACAAACGTCAAATTAGTGTATCATTTTCGGAAATAATGAGTAATACTCTTGTAATTCAACAAAACCTCAGAGGCAATAATGTAATTTAAGTTAATCCCTGAGAATCCCCTGCCTCCCTTCAAACACACTAGTATGCGACCTGTGCATTTGCACAGATATAAATAAATTATTGTGAGTCTGTATGCATATAATGATTAATTATTTTTCTTTCATTTTTTTGCAGACCAAATTTACTTAAAAGAGTTGGAATATTTTTTTTAAAATTACGTTTATCTAATTGGATGTAATGTTTATTTTGGTACGTCTTTTATTTATGAATTATTTATTATTTATTTAGAAATTACAAATATATTTTTTATTTTCAAAAAAAAATAAAAATGTAACAACAATAATAACATCTAATCACATTATACGGTCAACACATTATATGGTCAACTGTCATTAATCAAAAGTTTAAAATAATTTTTGTAATTTTAAAGTGATGAGTATTAATTATTTAATGATTAAATGAAAGATTAAATACATCAAAATATAACAGTTTTTGGAGGGAAAATTGTTAAATTGTCACATAGGTAAAATTAAATAGGTTTTATTAAATGTTTTGAGCTAGTAATTATATATATATAGATATATTTTTTATTTTCAAAAAAAAAAATTAAATGTAACAACAATAATAACATCTAATCACATTATACGGTCAACACATTATATGGTCAACTGTCATTAATCAAAAGTTTAAAATAATTTTTGTAATTTTAAAGTGATGAGTATTAATTATTTAATGATTAAATGAAAGATTAAATACATCAAAATGTAACGGTTTTTGGAGGGAAAATTGTTAAATTGCCACATAGGTAAAATTAAATAGGTTTTATTAAATGTTTTGAGCTAGTAATTATATATATATAGATGATAAGGCAAAGGCACACACTACTAAAAAAACTTGACAAAAAAAAGACACATAAAAATTAAAAACTAACTCTTTTACCTGTTCCACTAGCACATTTAGTGTCCCCTTAGAGACATGATGAATTTCACCAAGAATCGGGTTATAAGGGGCCACGCCAAAAGGTAACGGCCGAACAGTTGAAATGCTCCACCCAATAACCGACAAAAACCGGTTAATTTCCGACTCTTCATTCGAGCATTTGCCTAAAATATCCGACCCAACACAGTAAACCGATTCCCCATAGCACTGAAGTTGGGACTTTGGTATATTAAACTGTGGTGGAAGCTGATCATAATCAAGAAAAAAAAAAATTGTTAATAAAAGAACCAATTTTTATTGCTTTTTTCTTTCTTTTTTTTTTCACAAATAAACCGAAAAATCGGGATATGCTTGCCTGAAGTCGAGTGAGGTCGGATCCTGGCCGTACATTGTGGAGAAGGCTTAGGATGCGTTGGATGATATTCGGAGCTCGATAAGTAGAATCTGACGAATCGGAATCGGAATCTAGAGATAACGGTGCTGTTATTACAGCTTTCGTACTTAAATCGCCTTTTGTTACCTTCATCATCATCATCATCATATTCATGTTAACAAAATTCTAAAATTTATTAATCAAAATTCTGAAATTTTGTTAAGCGTAATAAAATTTATTAGGCTTAGAATTTGTTTGTCATGGCATGGCATGTCATGGCACAATGAACAAAAACGAAAAAAACAAAGGTTTGGTACAAAGTATGTGGGGACCTTTTAACTTTTTTGGGAAAATCCAATCAAGATTTACTAGGTGGGGCTGGTTATGAGCATTATCAGCACATAGTCTCAGCCATTAAAGAAAAATAAATAAATAAAAAATAGTATGTCTCAAAATACAAATATCACCTAAAAGTTGTGTGCTTGTTTACTTGTCTTCATGCTTAAAAGTTTTATGGTTATGGGTGGAGCAAGAGGGCATGTGCAATATAAAATCTATACTAGAAATAGTATGATTTTCTTGAAAAAAAAAAGAGAAAAAACTATTTCTTACTTAATATGAAATTATTTGGCCATAATCCACACAATTATAATTGAACTTGACAAAATTAAGAGATTTAATTATATATTAATAAAATTTACTTATCCTAAATTAGTTTCTTTGGTCATCTTCATTATTTTTCATATATATAACATTAATTTTTTTTGTAATTGTATATTATTTAAATATGGTATGTATTGATTAACGTACAGGCAAACTCAAGCAGACTTAGGTTTTAAAAAAACATTGATTAAAATAGATGAAAAAATAAACCATTCAATCCTATTATTTTTTAGGCTAGGCCTTATGGAATATGATCATTTGACATGTCTACTATGTGCATCACACGACATACGTACTAGTTTAATTGGATTTTTTTGTTTGTTATTGGGTAAAATTTCAGGGACAATTCTAGTTGGGAAACAGTAGAAAAGTCATCCACAAATATATTTCTAATTATTCCAATAACAAAAGGTCACTGTATGAATGTGTTTGGTAATTATCATAAGATAATATATTAATATGTCTTTTATTTAGTAAGTTTGTTGAAGTCAAATGAAATTGGCTTGATATATAAGCTTAAAAAAAATCAAGCTTGTCTAAGTAGCTTCATTAGTTGAAATTTTAATTTGATTGATCAACTAATTTTATCAAATATTTATTAAATAAATTAACTTTTCAACCATCATACACGAACTATCAGATATAAACTCGAAATTATTTTATGAGTTATCAGATATAAAATTGTAAAGGTGCAGAAAAGCTAGAAATCAAATTAGCAATTATTTCCCGTCATTTTATTCTGTTTAGTTTTACCTTTAGCATATATCTTTTATTATACACATCATTTCTCATACTCCTTTTAGAACTAAGCGTCATTTTAGATTTCTAAATTATTTTTATCTAATTATTTGGCGTTTTATAAGTTTTATCCAATTGTATAGTACAAGAAATCTTATAAAACAGAAAGAGAATAATTCAAGCATAAGGAATAGAGAAAATTACTTGAGGAAGAGATTAATTATTATGACGGTTTAATATGATTTAAGGAGATTTATCCAAAAATAATATTAGGCAAACCATGAATTGTTAATTTTCACTATTTTTCTATTTTTTTTAACTCTTGTAAAAAGTGGTAATTGTGACTGGATTTCAGATTTAAAGGAGAACTGGTGTGGGTAAGCATAATAATTAGACAGATTATACTTTTTCATGGTTAGACAATTATATTTTCTCAAGCGATATATTTATAAATATACTTTGAAGCTGAAATGT